CCCCCCCGTCCTATACACTTGTAATGAACAAGGCAAGGAAAGATTGTTTCCTGGTTTGTCATGAGCTAACACTCGTACTGTACTTGTAGCAAGCTATTTAGATCGAGATTCAGATTAATGTGTTTCATTATCGTTCAGGTAAATTCCAATGGTGCAATTTCCTTCAATTCACCATTATCCAAACATTCCCAAAACGTTCGTAATGGCGATAAATTGGTAGCACCATTCTACACCGGTCTGACGTCCAGACGAACTGGGAAGGTGTTCTATCGAGAGACCCAGGAAGAGCGTTGGCTTCTTCTGGCCAGCGCCGAAGTGCATGCTGGTTTTCCCAATGAAAGGAAATTCGAAGCGACCAGCTTATTTATTGCCACGTGGTTAGATGTTGGAAATGCTTTGTTGAATAAGGTGAGAGCAAAGATTCCAGAGCTTAAACATTAAGAGGCAATTTTCAATGTCACGTATTTGCAATGAAAAGTGTTCAAAACCGAAAATCTTTTTGGCGTTCCTCTCAAAATTACTTTGTTTTAGTTTTATTCTCTAGTTTATACAGTTAGGTATCTTTTTAGATGCATCTGTCGGTTGAGAAACATAAAATAATAGTAAAAAATTGTCAATTAAAATACAATTATCAATGATGCTTTAAAATTGACGCCATATTTACAGCCATATAAGCACAACTTACTGAACTTCAGACATCATTTTCTCTTTGGCGTATCATCTAAAATCTCTTCATTTTAGCATTGTTTTACAGATAAAGCACTAAAAATACTTTTTAAGTTTGTTTGCCGAGTGAGAAACGTATCGAAAAATAAAAATTTTGAGTTTAGTCATAACCTCAAGTGATTATTATACGCATTAGTTTTGAGCATGTGTTACGTAACGTACAAAAAATCTTTTAAAAGCAACCCAATAGCCTTTTGTTTAACAGTTGGCAAATGCGATCTAGCCACGATCCAATGATGGGAAAGCCTCATTGTCCTTTCATTGTTTTGAAAATCCCATTGTTCTTAGTTTATTGTTTATTGAGATGTCCCAACAGGCTATTGCCCAATTGATAGGGGATCTGAAGTACCTAGTACTACTACCTGCGATTTAACGTCTTTATCCGAGAAGACTTGAAAGTCTAACCATTTACTGATGTCAATGTAAACGTGCTCTTCTCAGTTATTTTAAGACTTTGAGTAGAGTCCAAGGATTGAACCCAGGTCTCCCAACTTAACTGTGTAAGACAGTCGCCAATCCTAGGAATATCGTACCACCGACCAACAGTATAGCAGATTGACGCTAACCACATTTAACACTCGTGCTTTAATTAGCTCAACTGGATGTTGTTATTATGAGCCTTTTGTATAACGTCACCACACTTGAGTTGTGGTTGGTTCTTTTCTGTACTCCCAGGGTTTGTATGCTGGTATCAGCTGTCTTCCGTGATCAGACATGAACCGCGTGATGGCAGCTCGAGGCGCCCCTTTAGCATTTGGCTGCAATAAAGAATGATTGGCATCCCCTATAACTTTACCTTTAGACGATCTATTTCCAAGTTGTTCTAATATCTGATGGGAAAACGACATTCACGTTGTTTCATTACAACAACAGAGCAAGCAAACAGAGAAGTGATCTTTTGAAATCTCAACAAACATCGACAACTACATTTCCTAATGCTGGATTTAGCTTTGGAGATAAACTAAGGTAAGAATTCGGGGGAGTTGTGGCTTTGAGGTTTGCACAGTATAGAGCTTTCCAATATCGATAAAGTTAGTTTAGTGTAAAGTCTGGTTTGCACTATCAAAGTTTCTGTAATCACAGTTGGAATTTTGCATAGATAAATTCTACGTTTTGAAGGATTTGTAAGAAATGTTTGAGGGAACTGACTCCGTGTTTAACACCGAGTCAGTCCCCTTGAACATTTCTTACAAATCCTTCAAAATTTAAAATTTACCTATGCAAAGTTTCAACTGTGATCACAGAAACTTTGATAATGTAAACCAGCCTAAAGTCTCCTCCTATAGTAACAATGGACAAATAAGGGCTAGCCCCTACTTGACTTTCAGGAAGGATCCATCAAATTAACAAAAAAATTGTTTTCGTTTCAGCAAATTTTTCCTGCCGAATTCTGGCACAAGCGACATTTTTCAGTTGAGTCATACTTCAAATATAAACATTCCTGGCAAATGGCTGTATATGATTGGCTCACGAGGTATAACTGAACCTCAGTCCAAGTTGAGTGGCGCGAAAGACAAGACGGTGGCGTTGACTGAAAATGTAACGTTGAGTGGTGGACCTGTCAGACGGAGTTCATCGGGTAAGAATGTGGATGTCAAACTTTATGAAGTAAAACTAAGGGTCTTACTCATCCTTTAGTCATTGAAGATATTATATGTATATACATCTATAGCGCACGGTCAATGGACAAACCTCGTGCTGAAATGGAAGGAATGCAACGTGATCGTGTCGAGGGCCTACTCAGGGCCGCCCAGAGGTTGGCGGGGCCCGGGGCAAATTTTTTTTAGAGGGCCCTATCTAAAAAATTTTTTCCGGAAAAATTTTTTCCGGAAATTATTTTGGCGACCTCCCCCACTGGGCCTACTAGCGATTTTAAGTGCAATTTTCGTCTTCCGATGAATGTGAATGAGTTATGAATGTTCAGATGAGGGTACATATACTCAGAACATTCATAACTCATTTACTCGTTCACATCCATCAGACAGAAGGAGAAAATCGCACCTGAAATCGCAACAAAATTTTCAAGGGTAAACCAGCCTTCAACCATGTCCATCCCTATCACATAGTTTTGCTAAGGCGGAAGGGTTAGTTTTTTGTGAGGGAGGAAAGCAGGATACCCTGGCAAAAACCTCGATATCATAGTGTCCACAATCACTAACATGTATTTGTTCCTATTTTCTTATGCAGATGCTTGTGGCGAGAGTGAAACACAATGTAGTAAGGATGCTGAATGTAAGACACCAAACGAATGTTGCGTATGCAATAGCGGTTACCATGGCAACGGGAAAGTTTGTTTGAAAAACGGTATGTAACAGCACAGACATGTTTGTTTTCCATGTTGTTATGCCTACCCCACAGGAGAGAAACTTGCTGAGCTAACCGCCTCTCACGGCAGGCTTAATTTCGCGTAAATCGTCACAGAAAATTTCCACTTACATTTAGGTCAGAGTATGCACATGAGAGGCAACTTAACTGGAATCGTTAATGGTATATCTGTGGATGGACTTCGAATCAGCGTTTTCGGAGATGTTCCATCAAAGACGACGTACATCGCGCTAGATCCAGTGCCCCCGTCAGTAAGTGTTCTGCTCCGCGTTTTGACACCTATGGTATCCACACTTGGTTATCTGTTCGCTCATCCTGGCGAGGGGATTGGAAATGGCTTCAGTTTCTTGGGAGATAATTTCTTACGACAATCTCAAGTCACTTTTGAAACAGGTAAGGGGCGTTTTCTATATATTTACCTTCGCCGAGAAGGAGGATTTTATCCGTGTTTGTATGACTGTGCGTCTCTGTGTCTGTCTGTCAGCACGATGAAAGAGCCTGGGAACGAGGTTGCACGATAACTTAAGAAATATCAAATGTATTAACATAAAAATCTCTGAGACTCATGGACATTGCCCAAGGACAAATTGATGAAATTTTGGGTAAATTTGGATGAAAATTGAATGAGAAATTAGTCTTGCTTTCCCGGCAGAATACAATAATAATTCAATAATAATTATATAATTTATGCAGCCTCGTACCTAGGCTGATAGCACATCAAAGCGCCTGGGACGAGGCTGTAATTTATGCATGATACAACCCAATCTCGTTCCCCGAGCTTGCGATCCTCGAGAAGGAACGTGAGACTCTGGGATAATCCGTTTCAGGGAGGAATCTGATTGGCCGTTGATATGGAATGCGCAGTTCGGTCTTAGCCAGGATTCCTGGCTTCCGGCAATGGATTATCCCAGAGCCTCACGTTCCTTCCCGAGGATCGCAGGCTTGGGGAACGAGATTGGATACAACCTTAATTCGCTGGCGTCTCCAAGCGCCCTCTAATTCTTAATATAACAAAGGCGCTTTTAGTTTAATTCTGCTAAACACCGGTTTTTTCTAGGTACTCTGGTTTTTGGACTAATGAGGGATTGACTTTATTAGACTTCTAAGGAGAACAGTTAACATAGAACTATCCATTTTTTTCTGTGTTGGTGTTGTGTACTCAGGTGGATAATATGTTTGTGATGTTACTCTGAGTGCATATCCACACCGGGTGAGCTTGAAAAATATGCCCGGCCACGGTGAGGTTCGAATCCCACCGTGGCCGGGCATATTTTTCAAGCTCGCCCGGTGTGGATATGCACTCAGAGTAACATCACAAACATAGAACTATCCAGTTTATTACTTTAGGTTTTTTCTTGTATTAAGCAGCACTTGACCAATAATTAAGGAATGACCCCTTCATGGGCATCTCTTAAATAGGCTTCTTTGTTTAACTGATGTTAATCACTCATTCTTTTTTGACATTCTAGGTGAAGTTGCCAACATTGGAGAAACGATGTTAGGACAGACTCAAAATGGTGGCTACAAATTTGAAATAGATATCGACGGAAACGTTCCGGTTTTTGACTCGAAAAAGAACATACAGTTCGAGAACTATGTCCACACATACAGATACGACAGGCAAGGCATCATGAGCGGTTATTATAGCTCTAAATTCAACGATGGTGAGAAGAATTATAAAATTAGTGTCGTTGAGGTCTTGGAATTTTCTGAGGTACAAGGTTGTTCGAATGTTGGAAATTCCAAAATGGCCGTCAGCGAGCAAAGGTCATCGTACGCAGTGGGGACTAATGTCCTAAATTTTGCTTTGAAAACTGAAATGCAAGATGAGGGTAAGGATTTGTTATTAAAATTTTTGGAATTTCTTCCGTAAAGGTAGGGGCTGCTAATCTCATTCCTTGAAGCATGGGTGTCAGATGTTGGGATACGAAGTAACCGTGTTACCTGCAACCATAAATATCTTATATACACTAGATAGCGCATCTCTTTTAGTAAAATTGAAGCCGAGAATAGTCCAGCGGTTACCCCCATTTGAATAGATGGCGGCCATGTTGGTCGTTCCCACTTGCTAATAAACGCTTAAAAACAACAATAACTTTCATCATTTGAAAAGTTTAAAAACGTATTTGGAATAGGGTTAACTTAATGTTTAAGTTCCCTGTTTAAGAAATAGAGAACATACGAATCTCCTCATTTCATGGGAACGACCTGAGACTGCAATCACGGCTTCAATTTTTGAATTGCAGAATAATTAGATGCACTATCTAGTGTATATAAGATATCTATGCCTGCAACTGACTGGAGTTAACTGCAAACCTAGGCCAGAATGTCTAGTGCACGATAGTATGGTAGAAAATTTAAATTTTCCCGGTATCGTTTTGAACTATTTACCGACCAGATTTAATAGGTGTCTCTTTTCTATAACAATCCCTTTTCTATTTTCAAACGTTGTGCGGTTTCCCATTGCCAAAATTGACTTTCTCTGGTTCAATAGACCTTTCCCTTTTAAGTGAAATTTTGATCTAGACAAGTCTGGACAAAAATTTCATCACAGCTTGAAAGAGCATCACAAAATTAGTAATATTCCGAAGTTTCGTTGCAAAATGTTGTAAAATGCGGATAATATAGCCTTGCGAAGTTTACCGTTTTTCAGTCATTTTGCATTACGCACGGGAAATTGATAATCAGATGATCAAACTGATTATCAATTTCCCGTTTGTGTAACGAGGTGTAACGAGGTTATTTTTTTGAATTAAATGTGTGTTTTTATAGAAGCTTGTGGAGAGGAGAACAGAAAGTGTCACCGTCAGGCAAAATGTGTGGTGAAAGATGGCGTTGAATTTTGTAATTGTGACATCGGCTTTCAGGGAAATGGATTTTCATGTCAAGGTAGTAAAGCCCTGGGCAAACTAGGAAACGTTGTTGTGGAAACATTTGTGATATTCTCGATGTTTCCTCAAATGTTCCCCTGGTAATTGACCTTTCTTGTTTTGTCTTAGACGTTGATGAATGTCTACTGAACATCGATGACTGTTCACCGAATGCGAACTGCAGTAATAATCTTGGATCATACACTTGCAAATGTGGCAGTGGTTACCTAGGCGACGGGAAAATTTGTCGTAAAGGTTGGTGGATGATACCTATCTAAAAGCCTGGAGAAACCATGATACACGCTATATTGTGAAAGAGACTGAAAATCATGATGCTTTTTTGTACTGCGCCTCCTGAAGATTTGAAATTATTGCAATACAAGTAACAGTTATTTATCTATTTCCAGAAGAGGGAAGGTGTGGTGATGAGGCTAAGAAATGTCATTCTCTTGCTCAATGTATTACCGAGGATGGGAATGAGCTGTGTGAATGTAATGCAGGATATATCGGCGATGGAGATTTCTGTCAGGGTGAGTAAATATCAGATAATTGGTAGGGAAAAGTATGGTGAGTTTACAGGTTAGATCGTAAACTCATCTCAACTAAAATTTGATATCTTTAACTGGATAGCGCTATTAGCTCTAAACTGTTCTCTCTAGATAAGGTCCTGTAGAGGCAATCTCTTATTTGATCCAGTCTTTCTACAGGAGGAAACCTGAGTGCCTGGAGTAAACCTTGTAGTGTCCGCTATAAGCGGACTCCAATAGACCTTTCCACTTTTGAATGAAATTTTGATCTAGACAAGTCTGGACAAAAATTTCATCACAGCTTGAAAGAGCAAAATTAGTAATATTCCGAAGTTTCGTTGCGAAATGTTGTAAAATGAGGATAATATAGCCTTGCGAAGTTTGACGTTTTTCAGCCATTTTGTATTACAAATGGGAAATTGATAATCAGTTTGATCATCTGATTATCAATTTCCCGTTTGTAATGCAAAATGACTGAAAAACGGCAAACTTCGCAAGGCTATATTATCCTCGATATTGTCCGCATTTTACAACATTTCGCAACGAAACGTCGGAATATTACTAATTTTGTGATGCTCTTTCAAGCTGTGATGAAATTTTTGTCCAGGCATATCTAGATCAAAATTTCACTCATAAGGGGAAAGGTCTATTAGAAGGCGAACGTATAGTCGGATTGTCATTTGTGGTTTGATTTATTTGTTGATGGATTTCGTACTTATCCATCTCTAGTATAAATTAGCAGTTTCTGCATATACTTTTTTGTTTGTCGTAGACGTTGATGAATGTCTATACTACATATCCATGACTGTTCACCAAATGCAGGCTTACGCACTATCTACTAGATCTTTGCCAAAAATGGACCTCAGAATTGAAATCGTCGTGCTCAAATTAGTCTACACCGAAAATTTCACGATGTTTGGACATTCAGAGCGCGAGTTACGACGTTTTGAAAATTTTGTTTTCACCATATGTATGGAATTTCCACTGTAGTGAATTTTTTTTCATCATGAAATGTTCGGTGTAGAACTATTTTGAGTATGAAAATTTCAATTCTGAGGTCCATTTCTGCCAAATATGAAGATGACAAATCAATAGCGCGAACTCGGATCGGAGAATTACAAGTACCTAAGGCCCGTTTCATACGCCGTATTTCACATGCGCCGAATACATTGAAAACAATAGGTAATGAAGCATTTCAGCTCATTATCTATTGTCTTTAATGCATTCGGCACATGTGAAGTACGACGTATGAAACGGGCCTAATTCCTCAACACCCATGCAATATAATTGTTTTCTCTAGATGCGGATGAATGTAAACTTGATATAGACGATTGTTCAGTAAACGCATTGTGTCACAACATACCAGGATCGTACAAATGTGCATGTAAAGTTGGTTATATTGGGGATGGGAAAACATGTCTGGGAATAAGTAAGTTGAGTTTTAACACTCAGTCCGTTCCATCGAACATTCCTTACAAACTCTTCAAAGCTTAGAATTTACTCATTCCTATTGTGATCGTAGCAGGGCCTATTTTAGTGTGCAGTATTGAATGAAAGTGTGCAGTATTGAATGAAAAGTGTGCAGTATTTAAATTTGAAGTTTGAAATAAATTTCAACTTTGTATTAGATGTGCTGAAGGAGCGAAATAGATGAAATATAAAGTCGAGAATTTTAAAATGCCTTTGCAACAAAATTAGCAAAGGCACAAACAAAGATTGGCCAAGTTTCAGCAATAAATTGCAATATTCAATATTTCCATGTCCAGAAAAGCTGGTGTACTTCTTTCCTCCACAGGAGGGAAGAGCCTGGGAACGAGGTTGTCATTTTTGTCGCATCAGCGAATTACTACAATAGGTTATGGCTGATTTGAATTTGAAAGGGTTTACTTTTTTGGGACACTCTGTATGTTGTCATTATGTTCTATATAAAACATAACAATTCAAAGATACTGTGACGTCATTGATGACACCTGCTCTGAAGTTTGCAGTATTGGAATTTCCTTAGAATAGGTCCTGGATCGTAGAAACTTTGATGGTGTAAACCAGCCTTAGGTTTGGTTTAAAAGCCATTTGTTATGAAAAAAGTAGTGTTACATAGAAAATATTCTTGGGTTTCAATGATATTTTACACTAAAACAACAAGGAAATAAAATGGTTGTCAACGCATCGTATGTAAATTAGTTCTCCAACTATTACAAAAGCCAATATAAACAATATAAAAGCCATCCTTTACCCATGCATGAAACCCGAGAATTAATTTTACCACTACTATATCAGTGTTTTAAATTTTTCTGAACAGTAGTTGGTTCAGGTGATGTGTGTACTGCAGATGGTCGACAATGTGGCCCAGTTGAAGAGTGTGTTGAAGAGAAATGTCAATGTAGAAGTGGTTTTCTGCACGATGGCTCCGCTTGTGCAGGTTAGGGCTTTTATACATGACTACACACGCAAAACACATCATATAGCAAGTCTACCAACAAGTCGTCAATAAGTTGTGTTCGCATTGCTTCTCCCCAAGTTCAACAAGTATGGTTGTAACAACCTTCTAGGTCAAGCAGGAAAATTTTAACTATAGTGTTTTCGAGTGAGGTTACTTACTAATGGCTACCTATCATTACTATATATAGTGGCTACAAAAACCTCTTGACAAGTTAAATCGTACACGAACTGTGCGGAGTAAATAAGAAAGTACGGCGCATTGCAACTTAATCGATTCATAGTGGTTACTAATAGTAACGTTACCACGAGTCGTGGTAATTTGTGATTTTTTCGTGGTTATTTGTCTTGTAGATGCCGACGAGTGCCAACTTGGTATACATACTTGTGATAAGGCCGCATCATGCTCCAACATCGTGGGTGCATATGAATGTGAATGTAACGAAGGCTATACTGGAGATGGGTATAAATGTGTACCGGAGGGTTAGTACCCAGTCCCCCGCAACGCCATTGTTGAAATATGGTGGTCGTGCGGGATAGCATTATAGACCGCGTAGTGATTTCTTGTAAAATTTTCAGTATGTTCACATGAGACCGGTACGAAAATCACAAATCTCAGTTTAATTTATTCCCCTTGCCCGCCATTTTCTTTTTTACAGTGCTTTTGTGAGCATGTTTGACTTCGTCGGTCTCATGTAAATGGAGCCTTACAACCGGGGCAAACATTGTATTCGCTTTCACCAAATCTATCTGCAAACAGTCTTAGACCTACCGTGTGCTGCCAACAGCTCTTGCATACAGAATGATTTTCTCACTTATTCCGTACTTTAATCTAAACCAACAATCTTATGATGAAAATAAGAGGCCAACATAATACTTTAATGAAATAGAGCCATACACCCAAATATAAAAGTTTTATTGACAATGACGTTTCGTCTTAACTGAAGACTTAATCTTCAGACTAACAGAACAATTACAATGAGAAGGATTATAATTATTCTTATAGTGATTGTTCCTTTAACTGGTTGCCATGGTAAACAGTGTCATGACGATGGATATTGCGACAGATCAGGAGTAGTTCCCGTATGTAGGTGTAACCAAGGCTTCAAGGGAGATGGAGTTTTATGTCAAGGTAATTGTGAAGAAAGGAATCTGAATGTGTAGGCAGGTCAATTTTATAACTGATAGAACTATCCAGGATGAATAAAGTTAGTCTAGTTTAGGTTTCCCTCTGTAGTAACACTGGACCAATAAATAGGCAGGTCAGTTTTAGAACTGATAGAGCTATCCAGTATGAATAAAGTTAGTGTAGTTTAGGTTTCCCTCTGTAGTAACA